ATGTAATAGCCTGTATTGTTTTGGGAATTAAACTGTCCAATAGTTCATAAGGAGAAAACACAGATTCTTAATTTAAAATATCTAATATTCCCAATAAAGTCTTTAAGGGACTCTCAAACTTGCCTCTGAGACTTCACAATCCAGTCTTCCACCATCTGTGCTGCTTTCAGCATTAATTTTCCAAGTTTCCACAACCATCCCCCGAACATGGTCAGGCGATATCCCATAGCAATATCTCACAAACCTGGTACCAGTATCTATCTTAGGGTTTCTATTGCTCTAATAAACACCATGACAAAAAACAACTTGGAGAGCAAAGGGTTTATTTCATTTTATAACCCAGGTCACTGTTTATTAAGGAGGAGAGTCAGGGCTGGAACTCTAGCAGGAACCTGGAGGCAAGAATTGAAGCAGAGCCATGGAGGGGTGCTGCTTACTGGCTTGCTCAGCCTGCCTTTTCATACTACCCATGGCCAGCTGCCCAAGGGTGACACCATCCACAGTGAGCTGAATTTTCTCATATCAATCATCAATCAAGAAAATGCCCACAGATCAATCTGGTGGGGAAGTTTTCTCAGTTAAGGCTCCTTTCTCCCAGACTACTCTAGCTTGTGCCAAGTTGACAAACACTGACCAGGACAGATGGGTAACTAGAAATTTCTCTCTCTCATTCTTTACTCAGTAGCATCCATTGCTGTAATAGAAGACTCAGAATTTCCTGAAGTCCTATCTGTTGATCATCTGGTGTCATTTGCTGAGCAATCAGAGTCCTTTTTAGAGAGTCCTTATTTATGTCTATGTGTTGAATGTACTCTTACTTTTTCCTAAAGTGGTTTCAAAATTTCAGATCCTATACTGAAGCTCTTACTATATTTTGAGTTGATTTCTGTGCAGTGTGCCAGATAAGGGTAGAGTTTTGTTCTTGTACATGCAGATACCCATTTTCCCCAGAACAATTTGTTGAGGTGGATATCTTTTTTCCAATGTGTATTTTTTGGCATCTGTGTCAAAAACTCAGATGACTTTAGTTGTGAGGTCACATGTCTGGGTCCTCTCTTCAATTCTATTGATCTACTTGTCTGTTTTTGTTCCAGTAAAATGCTGTTTTCATTGCTAGAGTTAAGTAGCAGAACTTGAAATTGGGCCACAGAGCCAGGCAGGCAGAGCAGCCACACATTGTAGTGCATGACTTTAATTCCAGCACTCAGAGGCACAGGCCAAGTGGATCTCTGTGAATTTAAGGTGAGCCTGGTCTACAAAGTGAATTCCAGGCCAACTGAGACACAGTAATACCCTGATTTAAGGAAACAAAACAAAAACAAAAATTTGGGGCTAGAGAAGTGTCTCACCCAGTAGAATTTAAGTTCACAACCAAAAAGATCAGAAAGCAGCCACAGGACACTCCTCTTACTACCTACTCTGGGAAGTTCGCCTACTTTGCTCAATGGACAAGATTTCTCTGTCTACATTTTCTGGTCCTCCCTTCTGTCTGCCTTCCTTCCCTTTCTTTATTCTTTTCTTCCTTCCACAACTTTTTGAAATATAATTTATATAGCATAAAAATGTACTTGTATTTATCGGGACATGGTGATATAACCTGTAACCATAACCACTCAAAGACTAAGAGGGGACGGGGTGGAAATCATGAGCTGGAAAAGTGACTAGTCTTATCTATCACTAGTCACTACAATGGAAGCATCAGAGCCAGGCTGTTTGACATAACAGCTGGCTTTCTACCTCCAACAGGCAGTGGCTCAGTTATCTTATTCGTGTAGCTACAAAATATATGTATTTCCTATTGGCTTTGTAAGGGTGATAAGAGAATGATAAAATAAATGTATTATGATATGCTAAATAAAGAAAGAATTTGCAATTGGGTATGGTGATATCTCCCCTAATATTCCTTTTGCTCAAGATTGGTTTATCTACCCAGATTTTTTGTACTTTTGTATTGATTTGAATATTTTTCTATTTTTTGAAGAATTTTGTTTAACATTCATTCTGTATTTTGAGTCCACTTACATAATTTGTAACATTTATTGATTGATACATATTGAATCTTCCCTGAACCTCTGGGATAAAGTGACTTGATGGTGGTGAGTGGTTTTTTTGATGTGTTCTTGAGTTCAGACTGACTGCTTTGTTGAGAATTTTTGCATCTATGTTGATAAGGGATATTGGACTGCAACCTCATTTCCTTTTATTGTTGTCCTTTCATCTAGTTTTGGCATCAGGGTAACTAACTTCATAAAAGAATTCTGGGATTGGTCTTTCTTTTCTTAACTTATAGAGTAGTTTAAGATACTCTGCTGTTAGCTGTTCTTTGAGATTCTGGTCAAATCCCCCAGTGAATACACATGGAACCGAATGCTTTTAGTTGGGAGATTTAAAATTATTGCTTCAATGTCACTGGTTTTATGAAGTTTTTGTATTACACTCATAAAAGTGTAATCTATAACATTAGTAGAAGAGATAGGCAGAGGTAACTAGGACCAGAATTTTTTGTGTTCTCTGAGATTAATATAAATTGAAAACATCAATATCACCTAGAAACATCAAATATGATGCCCATAATAACCTCAAAGAAAATACCTAATTGTCAGTTTTTCTCTCTCTCTCTCTCTCTCTCTCTCTCTCTCTCTGTGTGTGTGTGTGTGTGTGTGTGTGTGTGTGTGTATTTCTCTCTTCTCCATATTTAATTTAAGCAACTTCTCAAAATTTACCCAGGCACTTGGCAGTTATGCCTTAGCCATCACATTAAGCAGCAGAAGTGCCTCAAGATCAGCCACAAGTGAGCGCTCAGGGCTGATACGTGTGTCATAGCTCCACACATTTGAGTATCCTAGGAACATACATTTTCCAGTGATTTCCTGGAGGAGGGCAGCTCACAATTGAGGAGGCTCCCTCCAGCATTTTTGACTCCTCCCTCTAGCCACATCTTTCCTTTTACCTTTCCTGGGGGTGTCTGCAGCCCCAACAAAATATCCTGGGGATGTTGTGCAGTGGTGTGTTACTCTTGTTCAGCCCAGGAGTGGGGGTGGGGGGTAGGAGGGAGAAATGGGGAAGGTAAAGCCAGTGTAATTAATTAATTAGCTCTGTCTGATGACCTAAATCCAGAAAGCCTGTTGTGGCCTCTTCGGTCACAATTCCAGCAGCATAGCTGTGAAGGTACAGGGGATCTTTCGCCTCATCGTCACCCAGATCTCCCGAGAATCAACCACATGGTCACAATTATTTTTAAACACGACTTTTCCTTTTCGGAAGAAGTAAATCCAACCAAGGGCGGGGAGCCTGGCCCACAGATGACAGACAGGGAAGGCATCCTTCTGAGCTTCCTGTCACAGTGGCCTCCACCTCCCTGTCTTAGTGGTGTTAATGTGATTGATTTCCGTGGGAGGAGAGAGGAAACACACATTTCCCTCGAGGTTCACTGTCGTCCACCCTCATCTGAAAGGATTTCATCATTGGAAGAATTAAGGGCACAACAGGAATGCTAATCCCCTTTTACAGCTACCAGGCAAAAGCCTTACCCCCAACTGGCTCTGGATGGGAAGAGAGGAGACTGGATACTCTGAAATGAATCTTCAGCCTTCAACAGATCTTAAGCGTGTTTTTTCCAATTCTCCCACCAGCTTTGTACTCGCGTGCCTGCAGACCCAGGACAGGACAGAGCGCACAGGCGGAGGACCCCCCCTGCCCCGGCCCCCAGGCACACAGGCTAAATAGCAAACAGAGGCTTGACGTGCCAAAGAACTCACTAGTCTGGGCTCCACCAAAAAAATAGTTCAGCCCCTTGTTTCCTGGGTGGAGAGACCGCTTTATCTTCTTTGCTTGAAATGATCGGATTTTATAAGCTAGAGTTCCTTTTCCCTTATGAGGAAGCAGAGATCTAAATTCTGCTCCAGGCAAAGTTGCGGACCTAAGCTGTTGGAGGCTATGGTCCACTCGCCACTCGCCGCCCTCCTTTCCACCCGCTAGCTATCGCTCCCTGCTCCCTGGTTTTGTTTGTTCGATTTGCTTCGATTTTGGTCCCCAGAGCCAGCAAAACTTCCAAGCTCCCGCTTGCTGTCTGAGCCGCATGTGTACGTTGTTTAATCTGGTAGGGACTTGGGGACATCAGCTTTGGTTCTGATGTCACTACACCGTGGTCTCTCTTTACAGTTCAGAGAACATCATCAAAACCCCACCCCACTCTCTTGCTCAGGAACCTGACCCTTTCAGACACCTGCAAGTGACAGCTCACACTCC